ACAAGGCAGGCATTTGTGAATGGAAAAAGATGCAAAAAGCTCTAGACATACTTTAGAGCAAGCTATGGACGACTGATAAATAAGAAATAGCATGCGCGTTATAACAGTTGTTGATGATCAGACACTTAGTCCAGTACAATGACTCTTCTAAAGCTTTTGCCAAAGTGTAAACTTACAAAAAATAAGTATTTCCATTTCAATCAAGAATACAATTTATATGGCTAAATTCCTATATGAATTACAGTAAGGGCCAAATAAAGTATTCAAAATGAAGCAACTAAAAGGATTTTGATCCAGGAGTTGCTGGCATTTTTGGATTTCACCCATAGTTTGAAATGTAATTGACGATTATCGCTTTTGTGTGTCATGGAAAGCATTAGCTTCCTAAGTGATATATGCACTGGCTGATTCCAGTGCTAAAAGTCTTAGAAGGAAAACCCTTTTAATCATTTGTGCTTACAGTAATTAATAGCTTTTTTTCAAACAGCTATTTTTTGTGTACACTAACAAATTCTTTTCGAAAAGAGTTGCAATTTCTGCCAATGCATATCACACCAATCTTATAAAAATTCTTATAAAAGTAGGTTTTTTTTTTAAAGTAGTTTGTCCATGGCATAAGACAAGTTTGGAGGAACGGGAACGCAATTTTGTTTTGAGAGCTTAATTGAATGTGAGATATGAACTCTTAAAGGATTACATACTTGAAAAAGTGGATATTTGTTAACAAATATCCATACATCATATAAATATTTCAACAAAGACATGGAGATCATGTTGAAGCTCAACCCACCTGAAGCTCTCATTTCATAAAATGCAGCTGCAGGATGCAAAAATGAGCAAAATTCGAAATTTTTCGAGAAAAGATTTGGAGATTACTAGAAAATTGCTCATACTGCTAACGTCAAATATGAGATACTTTCTTATCATAAACAAAATGGTAGTATCAACGAATTAGAATGTTACATATAAACATGGTAAAATTAGTGCGAATCTTTATCGTGTAACACCTACTTCTTCCCTTTTTTTATCTCGGAGGATGACTGTCTGCGCTGTGAAAACTTAACGTAATCGGCATTACAAGAAATTTGTGCTATTTATTCCTAATTGAGCACATCTTCTTGGTGTCAAAATTCGATCCGAGAAGAGACAAATTAAAGATAGCTCAAGCCGGTGGAATTATTTTTAGATCAACGTAACATCATCAGTATATTTCAATAATATGATTCTTTCATTTCTGTAAAAATTTCTCCTATAGTTTTTGATGCCAAGCAGGTGACTAGAACCATCAGAAAACATGAAAAAACTTCAGCTATTTCTATATTTTGATAAAGAGATTTTTTTTGGAAAAGGGAAGGACATGGAGATCAAGGTGTTCTAGATTATTAGAGCTTCAAGGCAGGATCGTTTACAAGCCCCTTCGTTCACCACAGTGCACATTATAAGATTCCAGTGCTGTCAAAATCCAAATAAATGCTCGGAGTGGGAGCGTAGGAAAAATTAGCAAAACAAAGCGTGGTTTTGGCGGAGCAATCGCGGCCATTCTTTTGCCGATGTGCGAGACTTCCAAAATCC